AAAAAAAAAAAAAAAAAAAAAAAAAAAAAAAAAAAAAAAAAATTTTCGCACAAACAAAATAATTTCACAAACGCGTGTGCAGCGTCACTCAAGCGAACGCAGTCGCGCCTCGCATTCGTCCAAGACAGTCTTGATCGCGTTGTGTGTGATCGCGTGAACGTGAGCGGTGTCTATGTGTGCGTGGCTCGAGCGCGCTTAGTATGGAGTTTACCTTCTGTTATATTTTGTGGCATTGCATAGAATCCTATGAAAATGTGGTTTTTGGACATAGCAATACTTATTTTTCACAATTTTTATTTTTAAAAATTACTGGTCGATAGGTTACTTTATTTTGAAGAATAAATGTTATTAAAAGTTTTTTTCTAAAACTGATAGTTTAGCCGGAAAAAATTTTTTTCCATCCCATTAGTACGCCGGCTGCGCTCGATTCGGATATGGGTCATTCCACAAAAATATGTCAACTCTTAGTCCGCGCCACATTTCACATGAAATATTTGTTAATATTTTATTCCAAAATTGTTAAATAACAGCTCGCAATGTGCTTTATTTATCACCCATTTATATTTTTTGAAACTGATTTTAAAACATCTTAAATTCCTTTTGAATGACCCAAAACGTCATTCCCTAGGCATGTCCGTACTCCAAAAGTTTGTGTTTTGGGACCCACATTTATAAAAACATCAACTTTATCCTTTGTTTTAATTAACGAATAATCTATTTAAATGTATATTACACCAAATTCTATTAATATTTTGCGGTTTCAATAAACAGTAATTTGATTTTCTTTAGTTGAAAAAGAGTCTACAGCTTTTAGCGTCATTCCCTCGCCACGGACTGATTTTATAATTTTGCGCTTTAATATGTATTTAGAGTGAATGACATTTAGTTGAGTTTAAAGTACGATACGAAGTTATCCTCAGACCATACTGGCTTTGCGGTAGCCGTTTTTTGAATTAGTGCAAACGTGCCAGTTGTTGCGGAAAAATGTGTTATCCAGTTCCTTCGTCAGTCCCTAGTTGAGTAGCTTTATTGATTACAATAAGAAATTGTACATAATTTAATTAGTATTTACGTGTGGTTTTTTGGCTATTTTCGGCACATCGTATTAAGCATCTTATAATATAAAGTTAATCTGCATTTGTGTTAAGTTTTACTCCAAATCGTCAGTCCCTAGAGCGTCAGGCCCTAGCTTTAAACGGCACTTGGGACTAAATTACTAGTTAGGGAATGATGTTTTTTATATAGTGATAATAACAAAACAACTACATTATGTATATTAACTTATCTATAAATGTTAAGGTTATAAGTTTTATACTTTATTAGAAGTCATATAGGAGTAATGTAGTATGAAAAAATTGAAAATTATAATTTCTCCTAAAATAAAGCATAAAGTGACTGGCCCTTTTAGACATAAAATAATTAATTAATAAACTATAATTTACACTAATAAAGTATTCAAAAGCATCTTAAAAAAGTTACGGACAAAATGACGTCGAAAATATACAGATTTTTATGGAATGACCCATATAATGACGTCACGCGGCCTTGCGTACGTTGACTTTTAGCGGCAAAAACGGCCTATGTTTATTACTTAATATCTTCGTAAGTAATGGTCCGATTTGGATAATTCAAAAAGATATATCTTTCTTATGTCTTAAAGATTAACGTAGATACTAGTTTTATTGAATTTTCTACAACAGTACTGATCCTCATTAGAGACTTCTTCCAAAATTCAGTCAACTTTTCATTCATAGATTCTAGATTCATTCTTTCTATTTCATTTCATTCATAGAAGTAAACAAAGTAGAAAGAAAGTGCAACAAAGTTTTTTGTTTGATTGATTAACTTTTAATTATTAAAATCTCATCTAGAATGGCGCGTAGTGGGATTATGTCACCAGCGGATTCTGCACTTTATATCGCTAATAACTCTAAACATGTAAAAATACACGAAGAAGGAATCGAAAAGCTTTGTGGAGAGGTAAGTGATAAGTTTTCTCACCAACATTCAAATATTTACTAAACTAAAATAATTGATGTATTTACCTTGATACTCTTGCCAACTTTGAAACCCTCCTCTTGAGATAAAATTGATAAAACCATTTTCAGATGCTTCAATCGATGGTATCCAACAAACTTGAGATCCCAGACACTGGTGCTAGCATACAGTATCTGAGCAAAGAAGATCCACGTTCCGTAGACTGGATATATGTAGCGGATGCCTTGAATTTTTGCTTCTGGTCATATTCTGGAGCTGAAAAGTGGACCGTAGATGGACATTCAGGTTATTATGCCTTGGAAGCTGCTCTAAGTAGAGCTTTGAAAGTAAGTACACAGGAATTTCATTATTAAACCCTCTGAATGGGATCATAGTTTCATGTCAAGTGCCAAGAATCAGTTTCCTTTACTAAATTGTTCCATAATTATTATTCCAGGAAGGCCACAATGTCACCAACCCAGAATACTACTCCAAAATAACTGCAGATGACCTCAGACATATCTTTAGAAGTGACAATGATGCTAAAGTACCATTATTTGAGGAGAGGCTCTCAGTTCTACACGAAGTTGGGAGTGTACTTATAGAGAAATACAATGGAACCTTTACAACATGTTTGAAGCAAGCTTCTAAATCTGCTGAAAAGCTTCTACGGATAATCGTCAGTGATTTCCCTTGCTTCCGAGACGAAGCTGAATTTAAAAACAAAAAAGTTTCTTTGTACAAACGGGCTCAAATCCTGGTGGCAGATATTTGGAACTTCTTTGGAGGTTCTGGATGGGGAGAATTTGAAGATATAGACAAGATAACAATGTTCGCTGACTATAGAGTGCCTCAAGTTTTGGTGTACTTTGGGGCGATGAGTTACAGTGATGAGTTGATGGATAATTTGAAAAAAGGTGAGAAATCTTATACTGCAATTCCAAAATATTTGTTTTTAAATATTTTTATTTAAGTCAGCATATATGCACGTTTAGGTTATCCTAAAAATATAGATTTTAAAATTTGATGAATTATTGCTTTATTACAGATATCCTCTTACCCAGTGGTTCTGAAGAAGAAGTAGAAATCCGAGGCTGCTCCATTCACACAGTTGAGCTGATCAAGCGCAGATTAAAGGAGAAGACTGAAGGTCAGTCCAACGTACAAGTCCCTAACTCCAGTCTGATTGACTACTACCTATGGTGCTACCGAAGGAAATACGCTGATGAACTGGAGAAAGTCCCCTTCCACAAAACATTGGGTATATTTTATTAATATTTTACAATTAAGTAACTAATAGACTAAGAGCTAGTGAACGCCAGACTTACGTCATTTTATAAAAGCTGAAAGTTTGTCAGCGTATGCTCCCAATATAGGATATAATGTTGGTGAATTATGAAGTTTGGGTCGTGGTGGCTTTGGGAGCTACCCTAAAAAAACTGTCTGGCAAGGAGTTGGAACTGTCAAAACTGTCTGGCTGTTGGGGAAAATACTTCTAATTATTGTCCAAATATTATACATAAAAATCAGATTTAATGGTATAACGTTAGTAGAATTACAGTCTTTTGAATATACAGAAAAAGCCACCGTAAAAGTTAGACTTACGTTATACTATAAAATCTGATTTTTATGTATAATATTTGGGCAATAATTAGAAGTATTTTCCCCAACAGCCAGACAGTTTTGACAGTTCCAACTCCTTGCCAGACAGTTTTTTTAGGGTAGCTCCCAAAGCCACCACGACCCAAACTTCATAATTCACCAACATTATATCCTATATTGGGAGCATACGCTGACAAACTTTCAGCTTTTATAAAATGACGTAGGTCTGGCGTTCACTAGCTCTTAGTCTATAAAGTATGTATTCTTGGTAATAAAATAAGAATTGAATAAAATTTTGAAGGTAGGTGAAAAAATGTACTGCCATTTTTTTTTAATTTGGCTGTTGTTACCAGTGTCTGAGTGTATAAACCATAGACAATAATCACAACTTTCTGTGGTGTTGCCTGAGTTAAAAAGTTTTAGATACTTATGCCAAAATCAAGTATCATGATTTGATTTGAAATTTTAGCTTTTTTTGGGGCTAAAATTGGTAATAATAAAATACTAAAATATTTTTTTTATTAAAGAGCTTACACATTAGGTTAGACTTTTTACACATTAGTAGAGTTAGTGTAAAAACGTGTTGTGATTCCTGACCCGACCACGACATGGAACGGAGTTTTTACTGTGGCACAAAATGGTAATTTTAATTGTGTTTTACTGTGCCACTTATCCCAAGAATTTGTGCCTTGTACTTTTTGAGTAATAAGAGGACGAATGTGGTCGGGCTGGAGATCACGGTTCCTGGCCCGACCACAAGCAGATCTAATAAAATATCAATAGTGTGAAGTTACTGATTATGCCAAAAATATGTGCCAAACTGTGCCTACAGCAAACGTAAAGCATTTTCTATTATATCACAAAATAAATCTAGATTCGGATTAGTTAGTTTTTAGCATGCTCATTTGAACACTTTGTTTGTGACAATTACGTCGTCTAGGTAACTTTAAGTAATCGATGTTCACCGATTAATTGAAGATTTTTCGTCCGATTTGAGTGACTTTTTTTGTTTTATAGTAGATACTTGCCATTTGGTCCCATACACAATTTAATTTAGTTTAACATTGTTTAATTGTAATCTGAATCCGAAAAATTCTGTACGAAAATCATGCTCATAAAATGAAAACGACTACGGTAAACTAAATCAAATTGTGTATGGGACCAAATGGCAAGTATCTACTATCGAACAAAAAAGAGTCACTCAAATCGGACGAGAAATCTTCAAGTAATCGGTGAACCTAAAGTTACCTAGACGACGTAATTGTCACGAACAAAGTGTTCAAATGAGCATGCTAAAAACTAAGTAATCCGAATCTAGATTTATTCTGTGATATAATAGAAAATGCTTTACGTTTGCTATAGGCACAGTTTGGCACATATTTTTGGCATAATCAGTAACTTCACACTATTGATATTTTATTAGATTTGCTTGTGGTCGGGCCAGGAACCGTGATCTCCAGCCCGACCACTATCGTCCTCTTATTACTCAAAAAGTACAAGACACAAATTCTAGGGATAAGTGGCACAGTAAAACACAATTAAAATTACCATTTTGTGCCACAGTAAAAACTCCGTTCCATGTCGTGGTCGGGTCAGGAATCACAACACGTAAAAACCCTTGGTGCATACTTATATTCTTGACGCATTTAATTGTAAAAATAAAACTACACAAAATATGTTTATTGTGAATTTTGTGATAATATATTTTAAGGAAATCGAGTATTTTTATAAAATAAAACAAAATGTTATTGTTTACATGTAGAATTTATTTATACATTATAACCCTTATTCTCTTACACATTAAGCTTATTGGTATGTCTACAGCTCGCTTTCTAGCTACATCGTTATCACATGATTGCAGTGGTCTATATTTTTCAAGGGAAAATGTATTATTGCACTTAGCACAATGTCTTACCGTTATAAACTACCACTAGGATACCTAAATTTTACTATGGACACAACCACTAGAGAATTACCCAATGTATTCATGATTATTTACAACTTTGGCATTCGAATATAATAATAATGACTTAAATAGTGAAGTGACAATGTTTACAAAAATGGCACTAAATATTTACATCATAAACGATCTATTTATGTACACACTTTTTATGATTCGTGAAATAAGTGCTTATTCTAAAAAAACTTTTTTTGTCATAAACATTGACACCAAGTGGCTTAACTACCATAGCTTGTTTACAGGTTGATAAACAAGCTGTAGTTCCACTCACATGAAAGATATTTTAACGCTAATGAATGAAAATCACGCATTTTTGACACGAACTCTTCGTACACAAAGTAGTTTTCTGGGGAAAATGGCTCTTTTCATAAATATTATAAGTCAAATTGGATCTTATAAACTTCTTGTAGACCCAGTTCTAAACTAACCGAGGTTCTTGATCTATGAGAAATAACATTTATTACTTACTTAAATTTAAAATGTTAGTGGGATATAAAACAACACCATTGCTTAGTTTATTTGCTCTTGGAAAGTACGCGATGAGTTATGATGACTCAGTTGATAGGCCAGTACAAGATAAGATTACACTAAATAAGGCACGTTTAATTTTAAAAATTTACTAGAAAATTACTGAAGATCGTAATCGTAGAAAATCTAAAATTATTTGTTGAATAAATAATACTGATTTATAATGAAGCATTCTAGATCTATTTATTGTTGAACTTAGATTTCAGACTTTCGAAGAACGCTAGTTTAGACTTAATGGTGCCAGGTTCTGGTAGTGGGCTGCCGGGTCGACTGGATTCCTTCGTGACCTCCTCACCTTCAGGGATTTCTTTGGATCCTCCAGGAACTGTTAGGGGAGTTGCCATGGACAATTTCAGTTCTTCCCTAAATTCCTTCGAGATGCTTCTGGCAGTAAGGCTGTGCATGTACACTTGCTTATTGCTCGGTTTGGAGTCACCATTCAGGATGTTCTCTTTGCTTTTTCGTCGCCGCATGTATGAGTAAGGTTGAGGTAGCTATGGAAATTGATAAAGTGTTTAGGTACACATAGTTACTTTATTAGTATACTCGTATTTATGTAATTAAGAACGAGAAGTTGCTTCTATTCATAAGGGCCGGGTGGCCCGTGTGTGTAAGACATGGTGTGGTGTGAAACTAATTTATTTTTTACTTATTATTATTATTCTCTCTAATGGCTTCAATGGTGCGAATTTGAAGCACACTGGTTTAGATTGTGAAGAACACCTGTCAAACCTTCAGATGTGAAAAAAATTCTAGTGGTGTTTTATTTAAATCTTTAAAATCACAAGATGATTTTGTAAGTCTTAAAATTTGACATGGTGATAGGCACTATCAAATACTAAAATATTAAGTGCCTAATAATTAACGTACTAATGTACTTGATACATTGTGTATGATATTGCTAAGATTACAAATATACAGTGTGAGTCACGTTAAAGTGTACATATGAAAATAGATGAAACTAGACCTATTTTTATCGACAAAAAAGAGGTCAAAAAATTTTAGAGATTTTTTTTTAATTTTTTATAGATTTTTTTTTCTTCCAATTACTTATTGTAAAGAAAACGTAATAACTTTTAAACTAAGCAATATATCCTGATAAAATAAAAACAGTAATAATGCTAAATAACAGGCGGTACTAAAAAAATACATAAAATACACAAAAAAGGCCAACAAATAATAAAAAATGATACTTTTTGAAAAAAAATGGCTTTTAAATTCGTGTTTTTTTGGTTATTTGATAAATTTCTCCAAAAATGCCCCTATATCCGGTAGTTTTTATTACTTTGTATTATTCTCCATCGTATTACCTTCGTAAAACCAAAAATCGCATGTCTCTATCCCTATCACAACGTTTGCAATGATCGTTTGAACTAAGCCTCTGCGGGCGCGCCATTCAACGCTTCGTTAACAACGAAACTGAAAATGGCTCTAGATTTGTAATATTGATAAAGACAAGTTAGATTTCAAATAAAAACAAAAGATTTCGAAGTATAATAAGCATTTTAGTTAAAATTAAAATTGTCTCTACCTGTAGCGGAAGATAATGTTGTGGCAGACCTTTGTTCAAACGGTCATAGCAAATGTTGTGATAGGGATAGAGACATGCGATTTTTGGTTTTACAAAGATAATACGATAGAGAATAATACAAAGTAATAAAAACCACCTGTTATAGGGGCATTTTTTGGAGAAATTTATCAAATAACCAAAAAAACACGAATTTAAAAGCAATTTTTTTTCAAAAAGTATCATTTTTTATTATTTGTTGGCCTTTTTTGTGTATTTTATGTATTTTTTTAGTATCGCCTGTTATTTAGCATTATAACTGTTTTTATTTTTATCAGGATATACCGCTTAGTTTAAAAGTTATTACGTTTTCTTTACAACAAGTAATTGGAAGAAAAAAAATTCTATAAAAAATTAAAAAAAAATCTCAAAAAAATTTTGACCACTTTTTTGTCGATAAAAATAGGTATAGTCTCATCTATTTTCATATGTACACTTTAACGTGACTCACACTGTATTTACTAACCTTGGCCGGTTCATTGAGATTGTCCATGCTTACAAATTTCTTCGCCAACTCCTTAACTTTGGGCAACTGAGCTAGTATGTCATCGATTTCACTGTTCCTCTCCGATAAATCTTCATCGAAACTTTCCTCGATTATAACTGATTCTTCGACCAACTCGATATTTGGACTGAATTTCTCACCGGCTTCTTCGAAAACGTTGTTATCTGGTATATCGATGTTGTCGTTCGTGTCAGTCACTACCTCGTATCTGGGCGATACGTTATCTTCGGGCTTACATCTCACTATCTCGCCTGTTTGTACATTGTAGATCTTAATGGAGTCTTCCAAACTACTAGAGCTTATGTAAGAATTGTCAACGCTCAGATTTGTTGGTGATTTGGCAGGTTCTTCCATCTCTTTATTCTCTACGTCCAATGAAGGTGTATTTGTGTTGTAGGCAGTTTGCAGGATTTCTTCAAATTTCTTATCAGTGTCGTCATCGTCCACGTAAGCGGGTTTTGCAGAAAATAGTGTGTGTTCATTTAAGTCTTCGTATTCTATCAAAATCGTGTCATTGTTCCTCGGCATGGTGGATATAGAGTCGTATGTCTGATCGTCAACAGCAAATTTGGTGTACTGCTGGTTCGTCGCAATGGCGTTAAATTGTTTTATGAGCGATCCCTGAAATTTAAATGTCATTTGGATAAAGTGATTTAGGTATAATTAGTATAATAAACATTATGATAATTTTAATTCCAGTACAACTTGACGTTTTAGGTATGTGTATACATAGTGTCTATTCTAGAGCGCTATCTAGAAGCCCCACTCCGTGCTCATTTACTCAAGTTATGTTTCTATTTTGTTTACGTGGACGACGTGCTGTTAGGGACAATTAAAACGTGCGTCTTTGGAAATTGTGAAGAAGTAATTAAAATTGTTAATGTAAGAGAAATGGTAAGAAATGATTGTTATGGTTTCGGTGAAGCATTCTATGTGATAGTCGCATGGTAAAGTGTGATTGATAGAGTCGTTATTCGGAACCTTGTTAGTTAGTGGCAAGCCATCCAATGCTGCAATGTTAGTCATAAGTCTGCCAAAATCATACAACACTCACCACTAACGTCTCGGTGGATTACTGTAGTAATATTACTGAAAATTTTATTAGAAGGACACAAATCTATAAGTGCAGCTAGGATCATACTCTCATGTATTAAGTGCAGAGTGCTGTTAGTCAGCGATATTATTTCTTTCAACATGCCAACTTTAAACACAACAGGCAACATAGGTACGCTGTGTCAAAACGAAGATATTTCATTCAAATAGATGATTTAGTAATGACTGGCTTTTTCCACCTCCGGAAATGCTTAGAAGATTGTTAAAAAGTAACCTAAGTATAACCTAAATTAAAGATCGGAAAGTCTGGCCATCTATGTATGTATCGTACATAGTGTAGAGATTCGTATAGTACAACAGTTAAAGAATCGGTAGGAATGATATTTTCAGTTGGGGTGCTTCAAGGCGAATGTGTATTAGCGAATGTCGATCTGATTCACCAGAGGTCGTTACGAAAGCCCTTGCTTAACCTGAGACTGCCCCCGAACGTATAATTGAGGACCGGGCGGCGTTTGGCGCGCGCGCCGAAGTCGTCGCTCCTCAGAGTGCCGCTGCGCCTAACATTGCTATACGTCTCGAAAAGATCTTCAGTTATTTCAGGTTTTTTCGGTATTCTAAGTCTAACTATATCCTCGTTTTCCACATAACCGTCACCTTCATCGTACTCAATCGTGTTATTTAATCTTACGTTGGCGTTTCGACTGACATTACGCGTGTCTGTCGCATGATTCTCATCAGCGTTATCGTGTTTGTCGGGGTTTTCGAAAATGGGGTTTATGGCGAAGTTGGGGCTCGCGTTTCTGGGGCTGAGGACGGCGCGCACGATGTTCTGGTGCAGCGCGCACGCCTCGAGGTCGCCCAGGGAGCTGCTGGCACTTACAGGAGCGAGCTCTGTATCGAAATTGTCTAAACTGGCCGACTTGTTCAGCGACGACAGCGAGCTAGCGTCGCTCAGACTCGTCTTCTTCCGACCCCCGGAGGACGCTTTCGCCTCTTTTATGTAATAATCTCTCCCGTATCTGCGAAAAAATAAACATTGTTTAGGAAATAAAGTTTTAATATTTTGAAGCTGCACCTCTAACTTGCTTTTTTTGTTTAAAATTTTGATATAAATCAATTGCTTTGATGGAATCGCACCTTTCGTTTGCCGAGTGGCTGATCTGTTAAATTCAAATTCAAATTTAAAATACGTTTATTGTGAATCACAGGTACCTACATACTAGGTTGTCAAATTATAAATGGATATAAATCGGCTGCGTTCCGCCTTGAAGGCATACAATAGTTAGTGCTTATTCTTAAAAAAATAGAACTACTAATTTTTCTATTTATGTTTTTTTATCTTCTGCCACTTACCGTTTGTATTGTGGAACTTCCTCCGCTAATACATCTTTAAGTATCTTAGGTGATGGACTTTTTGATCTCGTGCCGTTCATATGCACAGCATCACCGTTCAGTACCAAGGCTGGTTTATTCTGAGAAGCTTCTTCTTTAACTGGGATTTCGTCTTCAGTGACATTCTTGTTAACATCTTCGTCTGTCGCTTGTTTAGGATTTTCATCATCTATTTCTTTAGTTTTCGTGGTAATCATGTCGAATAGTGATGAAGTGCTTTTGGCTGACAGACGTTTCTGAATGGCTTCAGGAGAATAAGGATTGTTTGGCATTTCAACGTAGTTCAACCACTTCTTACGCTCGCGGTATGCGATTGAACCTGTAAATGATTTATTTATTTTTAATGCTCATTCATACAAATAACAAGTTTCTACAATACAGGTCTTATTTATGTAAATAGCTACGGTGACGTTACTGATACGAATTTAGATATTTTTGCTAGCAACTGAAATATTGCAAAAAGTTTAATTACACTTTGATAAATGAATCGTTTTATTACCTGGTATTAAATCGTCGACATCTTTATCGGTGTCTCGGGTCGGTATTCTGAAAGATGTTAAGTTTTTTAGTAAACAATAATATAATAGTCTGACTGATTTTTGTCCCGTTAAAAACAATGTTTTTGAGAAGATTTAAGAATTTCTTTTTCTTATTTTAAATTAGATCATTATTTCTTATGCAGCTGACATATAAAATGTAGTGTACTATACACAGGGATGTCTCTATACACCTGATCTGCTCAGGTCTTCTGCTTATTTCCAATCCAACTATGGGCAATAAATTTGCGTTAACTTACAGGCGCCACAAGCTGTTTACGTGGCTTGTCAACCAATTATGTAATGAATTAAAATCAAAATACTTACTGCTGTGTGTCATCATCAAAATGTTTTCTTCGTAAGCTGTCGGCATATCTCTGAACAGGAACTGTGACAGTTTCTTCATACTCCCCAACACGTTCGTGGCGATTAAGAGTGTTTGTTGACCCTGGAATGTATGATAATGAATTGATAACAATAAAATCTAACGTATTACAAAATAGGTATTAGCAAAAAACTTCTAATCAGAGGTCAGCAACCTTTCAAGAATTAAATCATACCTTTATTACTCGATAAGCTGTCTAATAAATCTTCCGAGCTGTTTCCATTAATCTTTGCATCGACTTCGTCAAAACACTTATCAGGTTTTCTACTCAAAATAGCTCTGTGAATTTCTTCTTTGACGGAGAACTCTGTTTTTGGCAACGGACCGCTATCTATGTCTATGATCAAAATAGAATCATGACTGTTGTCATAATCATCATTAGCATGTATAATTTTCGCGTCGATGACCTTGTTATTGTTCAGTTGTTCGTTAACGGCGTCTGCTACATTGTCTTCGTGTTCGGTGCCAGATTGTTCGAAGTCGTCTCCGTCAATGATGGTTAGACTGTCTGGCTCAAAGTCCATGTCGTCGTGTTTGGGTTTTCCGCCGATGACGTGTTTGGAATCTAGTACTTTCTTGATGTCGCTTTTGTATTGTTCGTCCGGTTCTTCTTCTTGGTCGCTGGCGTTGTCGGACAAGTCGGTGGTGTCGTCGGCATCGCGGTCGCCGATGAGCGCTCTGTACTCGGTGTTGGAGTTGGGGACTAGCATGGGGACTGGCACTGATTGGAGTGTCTTTATCTTTTTCTTTTGGAACAGCCAGTTCTCTTCCCATGTGCCGTCGATAGCTTGGATGTCGCTGCCGGATACTTCGTCGAAATCGCGTTCTGCGTTGTCTGTAATGTGAAAGATTTCAAAGTTGTTACTTATACAACTTTATCTCTATTGGTCCATACCTTTCATCATTGTTTACAATACTTACCATGATGCACGATGTCTCCGCCGAATTCGGGGAACGGCACTCGTCTGGGCAGTTCCAGTGCATCATCAGTCGCTTCTCCTTCCTCCCAGTCTGACACATCTTCCTCTTCGCGAAGCTGAAAACCAGATTTAGATAATGTTAGATCTTTAGATGTTGCTTCATTGTTATGGTGTGATGGATCAACCCTATGATTTGAAGTTATGACTAACTGTAACTTTAGCCTCATTAAACTTTATTGAACACAGGCTTAAGGGGTTTTTTAAGTTAGAAGTTTTGAGGCGGCCGTTAGTCGTCGATTTGCAGGACCCCGACATGGAAAATTGATGGAAGATGTCCCTATTGTGCCGGGAGTGCATAAGGACCGCTCAGAGGGCGTAGGGCTGGCGCTCGTCTGGTGTCTCTCGATGCCTTAGAGGAGGGAATGCAAGGGGGTAGTCAACTCACAGGAGGTGAGATGTTCCTATTGTGCCGGGAGTGTATAAGGTCCGCTCAGAGGGCGGGGTGGATGCCGCTCCGTCTGGTCTCTCGATGCCTAAAAGCAGGGAATGCCAGGGGAGGTACTCACAGGGGGCGAGATGTCCCTATTGTGCCGGGAGTGCAGAGACCGCGGCGAGGAGCGCTCGGAGCCGCTGCGTCTGGTGTCTCTCGATGCCTTAGAGGAGGGAATGCAGGGGGGTACTCACAGGGGGTGAGATGTCCCTATTGTGCCGGGAGTGCAGAGACCGCGGCGAGGAGCGCTCGGAGCCGCTGCGTCTGGTGTCTCTCGATGCCTTAGAGGAGGGAATGCAGGGGGGTACTCACAGGGGGTGAGATGTCCCTATTGTGCCGGGAGTGCAGAGACCGCGGCGAGGAGCGCTCGGAGCCGCTGCGTCTGGTGTCTCTCGATGCCTCAGAGGGAATGCAGGGGGTACTCACAGGGGGCGAGATGTCCCTATTGTGCCGGGAGTGTATAAGGACCGCTCAGAGGGCGTAGGGCTGGCGCTCGTCTGGTGTCTCTCGATGCCTTAGATGAAGGAATGCAGGGGGTACTCACAGGGGGCGAGATGTCCCTATTGTGCCGGGAGTGTATAAGGACCGCTCAGAGGGCGTAGGGCAGACGCTCGTCTGGTGTCTCTCGATGCCTTAGAGGAGGGAATGCAAGGGGGGTACTCAACTCACAGGAGGTGAGATGTTCCTATTGTGCCGGGAGTGTAGAAGGACCGCTCAGAGGGCGGAGTGGATGCTGCTCCGTCTGGTCTCTCGATGCCTAAAAGGAGGGAATGCCAGGGGAGGTACTCACAGGGGGCGAGATGTCCCTATTGCGCCGGGAGTGCAGAGACCGCGGCGAGGAGCGCTCGGAGGGCGTGGGGCTGGCGCTGGCGGAGTGGATGCCGCTGCTGCGCCCGCCGGAGCCGCTCTCCGTCTGGTATCTTTCGATGACCTGGAATTAGAAGAAAAACTACTTTATAGCTCAGTATTAAGGTTTAAAGTACACGGTTTGGAGGACACGGTGAGTCTGATTGAATTATCCCAGCCGCTTTTGGCGGGTCACAAAGGTGTCGGACTTAGGAATGGAAAGTTTATGAAGAAAGTATTACACATAAATGTAGGTATAAGTGTGAGGTCGTTAAAATAAGGATTTTTCTCTGATGGTCAGATGGTATATTATTATTGTATTATCTTATGGACCTACTTATGAATGTCGCTATAGTACGGGTGCTGTTAGGTTTTGGGTTAAGGCTAGATTGTTCGTTGATAATCGGTGTAATTGTAGGTAGGATTTATTACACGAGTATTATAATGGACTTGACTTTAATTATGTAAGTGCCTAGAGTCTAGGCCCTAGACCTACATAGCCTTTTGCTGAAAAATGGCTAAAATGAAATTATTATTTAGCTCTAACGTAAATGGATAATATTAGTAGGTACCGTCATGCTAATATGACATAAAAGTATGTATGCAGTATGGCTAACTAGACAATATGAAAAAAGCAGAACTTATTGATTTGGGTCCTAAAACAAATGTTAACCTCTCCGTCCCCACCATCATTGGGGAAATACACGACACCCCCGAAGAAGTTGTACATTTTGAAGGTGAAATCGGATCGGGCATCGATCGAGCTGCCCCCGGTCTCGAGTTTCGATCGAGTTGACATCGACTCGCTCGCGAACGGATTCGCACTGCGGAGCGGAGGAAAGGGTTTGTCGGGGTGCTATATAGGGCTGTGCCTATTCACTGTTTTATTTATACGATGGCAGTTGATTTCACAGAGAAATTTTAGTCAAGCTCATAATATTCCTACCTACAAGGAGTACTTATACTTATACCTAACTACGCCAGAGCAAGCCAAATAGAGGGAGCTCTTGCTCTAAATCCACTACGTTAAACTTCAAACCTTTGATCTCAAGCCAAATATCGTATAACACCAGACAAACTACGAACAATCACTGGTATCCAGCTGTTAAATAGAACTTAAAGGATAGACAAACGAGAGTTAAGACTTGATGCTGCTATAGCGTCATGATTTTCGAGAATTTTCAAATATGAATTAGTGCTAACTTCAAAATAACAAAGCCATTCTCTATGTAAATTACTGATATGTAAATTAGTTACACCTCATCTTTCTCAATATACATTATCTATGTGGTAATCCAGCTGTTGCAAAAACACGCGTTTCAGTATGACTATGTGCGTTTGCTACGAATGCCAATGACCGGTCGTGGCCTTGTCACCTGCCTTCTTGAAAGGTGTACGAACAGTGCAAAAATACTATTTTATGTTCCTGATCCACACATGCATTTTTTTGCACATCCAAAAATAATTTCCTAAATAACAGGAACTGTTTCTTAGATTTCGATATTTCTTACTTTCGTAACTATCGACTTAAATAAAGGGACCCGCGCCCGCGGAAAGATTCGAACTCATTAGAAGTAGGTACTAGTTAGTTTTGCATTGGAGGGAAGTTGGCCTTTTCTTAGCTGCAAACTCACTATGTGTTTTTGATTAATTTCGTTATGGGTCCAATGACAGCTTAGCTTTGCCTCGGGACATACCTTCACTGATTGAGTTTTTTTTATTGGCGGTCATGCTGCAGATCCTGGCTATGCTGGAATTAGCAATGATGGGAACGTTTCGTCGTTTTTCATTTTGGCAACTGTAATGTTTGAAACTGCTGTTTACCCCTTATTCCTGTTTACCCACACCATTCATTCATTTGCATTTACAGTTTGTTTACTAAAACGACCTAGCAATATCCCGTATGCGCACGCGCACGTCTGCGACAAACCGGTAGTTATGCAAAGCGATCACCTTGACACATTGCGATACTTTCGATCGAGAACACTCCATAATTAATTGACATTAAAGACGCCGATATTATTTGCAATTTTTAAAATTAATTTATCATATTGATTATCGCTAACGAAATTGCGGAACACATTTTTATTCGGACGAAGAATGTGATTTAAAAGAATAAAGGTCCTTACTTACAGACCCCTAATAGTTTTGTTATTAGGAGTAATTGGTTGTTTTGTTTAGTTATCTAGCTGGTAAACCTTAGTTCAAAAATAATAGATAACTTAGGTTTGTTAACTAGAAGGTTCATTATAAAAATGCGCTATTGTAGAGGCTTGTTTATATCTAGAAAGTTCTGGCAATTTGAATACATAATTAATTAGATTACATATCAAGAATTTAAATCAATAATTATTGTGTATGGAATTTTTTTATCACTGAAAAACACCAAAACAATACGTAGGTACCTACGTTTTTCCGATAGTTAAGATATTCCTCATAAATTGTAAACTAAAACAACGTCCTTAAACCCAATAATACAGACATAAACACAAAGTGTTAGGTAACTCACAAAAGCTATGAAGTACAGCCATATCACCACACCAATCATGAACAACGTCAACATTTTCACTGCACAAATTATCTACATTTAGGAAAACCGGTCGGCGGGAGTGAGTCAACAGCACTGAACTTTAATTAGGCTTAAGATCTACACTTAATACATACCATTTCTTTCCCGCGTCGAGACAGTATATCATTAGCTGTAGAACCAAAGCCGATATGAGCTATCGATGTCTTATCAGATAGTGTTATCACGAATCATGGCTACGGGACAGCGAAGAACACTTTCTCAACGAAAATAGCCCGAAAAGTTGATATCCGCTTGATATCTTCATTTTTCGTTAATCGATTGCTCCGGGTAGCGATTAACGAGCGAAGGTAATAGCTGTTATCACTTACATGTACAGATTATTCTGTTATCGAAATTTTCAATTTAAACCCCATTTTTAATGGATTAGTGTTTTGATAATTATTGTTGTTGTTTGCTACTGACAAACATTCTTCTTTCACCTTTGATTACGGATCTTCGATTTCACAACAGGTGCTAGGTGATAGCCACAGGCAGATGTCGAACGCACGATTCATTGATGAGAAGTGAAGTTTCTCAATGTTGTTATCGCGCCTTTTTTTTGGGAAAATCCTTCACTGTCAAGATAAATTTGATGTAGACCCAGTTTCTGACTAGAGATTTCCAGCTTGAGCGTGTCTCACCTTCTATTCGAGGATTAATTTAACATGAAAAGTTCATATTTGATAGAAGCTGAGCACGCTCAAGCCAAAAATCTCCATCATTCAGAAACCGGGGTATTGTGGGGATTACCCCACAATAGTAAAAGAAAATCATCTCTTCAGCTTGTGGTAATTCACTAATTTCTGATAATCTTCCAAGAAGCGCCATAAATCATGATTTCCCGTTATCTAGCTACTAGATCAAGCATCTTAGTGGCATATACATATCTTCTGTCCATTGAGCAGGGAAATGTATTAACATTTTCTCATTTTCTTTTTTCTGGGGCTGTAACAACCGTGTTTCTTTAGTTACACCGTTTGGCTTCTGACATGACAATCAAATGCGTATTCGTTTCAATAGTGACCGAGTTTGTGCGCTGCATCTTCTCCGCACTGGCCCATTTATTGTCCAGAAGCAGTGGTGGGGTTAATACTGGGACGTGTAAAGGTGCTAAAAGACTATTTGCAAAAATAAATGATTCTTGCCCTGGACTTGTAGGCAGCCCTAAATTAGCTCATCATACATGCTTCCATAACGTCCTTGTAGGTATTCCCTTCATAAGGTTGTTTACATAAACGGTGCGCATTACCGGCGCGGGCACCGCTTATTTGCTTCTACGCATAATTAATCTGATTAACTCAAGTACTTGTGTGGTTTTAGGCCGAATTTATCGTTCTGCTTGAATCATTGCTGTGAATCATTTAACACCTAATCTTAGTTTGAATCAGTTTGAATTACGATATCATCCTAGTTCAGCAGGTGCGGTAATTATAAGCTATGATATGTAATTCATTACATGATTTGATTTTATGATCGCGTTGCTACGTTGTCCTAAAAATAAATTTCATTCCTGCCCAAAATATCGATAGGTGCTCTTAGTGGAAGAATAGGCCAGGTGCTATTCGCCTAAAGTGCAATACTTCGTCTAACGTTAGATACAGGCTCTGGTGAATAGATACGGGCCCTTGCGCTCAAGGCATATAAGCATTGTTAAACATTGCTACTTAATGTTATGCTTAACCTATTAATTTGATTTTTTTATCTGAGTTAAAAGTACTTATGACAAGTAGGTAATAAATTGTTTCACTTTAAAACATTTTGGGAAGTCATTAACCAGACTGCCCCAGTGATAACCATTTAATAGTGTGATATCTCTAATGACACTGTTACACACGCACTTCACGACAAAGAAAAAGCAAGAAACAGTTACATTTTCATAATTCTGCAGTTACATAACTAATTTTCTCTAATTCTTACTTCTTGCGTAACCAAACGACAAACGACGGTAATTGATCAGTAAATGGCTAGAACTCATTGTCAAGACAATCGCAGTCCGCAAGATGGCCACGCTATAATAAGTCGTAATAAGCCATGCGTTCTCATCAGTGTTACAGTTAATTCGTTTGTTGTAATTACAGTTAGGAATAATTACAGCACCTACCTACTTTCTGGCGTTTTGCGTGCGAGAGAAATGAGAGAGGGAATTATAAATTATGATTGTAAGTACAATTTCCGCCTATCCCTTAGGCCCTTTGGTTATCGAAAATCACGTAACAATCAGTTTTATACAGCCTGTCGTTAGTTGTGCAAGCAGGTGCCTATGTATTCCATTAAATAAACCGCTTGATAAGACAACAAAGGTTTACGTCATTGATGAAATTGCATATCCTGGAAAGGATAAGCTGCTTAAACCTCACAGGGCTTTCAGGGTCATTTATTTTTATTTATTAGGAAAACCAACAGCAATACAAATACAAATAATGAAACCTAAAATTATGTGTCTGCTTAGCCATTAATAGGTAATCGCAAATGGAAGTCAAGATGCAAATAGACCATACGCTGTTATAAGAGCAGACATTTAAATAATTTACAAGTAAAAACTTAACAGTTAACAATACTTTTAAGCGCCGCTGGAGTGGGAGTCGAAAAAGTCTGAATTATGTCTATGTACGAGTAGGTATAGGTATAGTAGGAAAACGCAAACGTGGTCGACCCAGGCAAACTTGGCGGCGCACTGTAGCGGACGAGGCGAGGAAGATCGGCAAGACCTGGAGCGAGATCAAGCGAGAAGCTCAAGACCGAACGAGATGGAGGACTGTTGTGGACGCCCTCTGCCCCATCTAGGGGACATAGGACCATAAATCAAGTCAAGACGAGTAGGTATACCTAGGTATAGTCTTGAAAGTAAGCAATTTTCACATCTTGGTATTAACTACAGACTTGTGTCCACAGATATACCTAGAAATGGGAATAACGCGACGCATCCAGATGTATGCTTACTTAGAAATTACTAACTCAATTAACTATCGATAAATCGAACCTGGGATCTACCGAGCATTGAAAATGAACCACCACGCCATTGGGAAAAGTAACGCATAATATAAATAATCAACAGTGACATGTTAGACCTATGTAACGTGATTCATCTTCAACACTTGACTGAATTTGATTACCTGATAAAATTGGTACAAAGTTGTCGTTCGTCTCCTCACTGATATCATATTGGTACGAGGACATTGTGTCCGATATACGCAATCACAAATACACATCACTAGCCTAGGTACTTGATTATGCTATGAGTAGGTACAGGTACACTGTTCAATTGTTTTCGTTAGTAAATTAATTTACCTTTTGCACTAAGTACTAAATGTATGAGGCGAGTCTGATCTTTATTTCGAAGTAAATACTACATAGATGGTAGCGTGTCTATAAATCACAAGCCAATAATTTTTATCGATGAAATATCTTATGAATCTTGATGTTGAAAGCCAACTTAATTGCGAGGTATCATCTAGTAATCTACCTAATACGAGTACATAATATCATGAACTGGCCACAAAAACCATTAATTGCCAAATGCCAATAGGAAGTTGTGAAGATCTTTATATCAGATCTATTAAAAAGCATGACTTCATCAATCTAATGTTTTATAAAAATCCGGTTTACATTTAATTCGGTGAAGATTAGAGCAATTCATTTCTAATACCTATCAATAGTTGCTAAGCGATTGCCTTTGCGATAAGCAGGTGGATCCACAGGAGGGTTAAAACTATGACGAACATTCTATTCGGTTTGTATGTTGAAATTGAAACATTCATAGACTTTAATAGATCTAACTTTTGTAGATTTGAGCGTTGATAAGAGCCTGATGATTTTGTTGGTGTTCTTGTAAAGTTGGTAGAGACATCTTGATCTCTAAAATATTCGTAGTAACGCGCTCTACAAACTTTTAGCTTTACTTAAAGCTCCAATAGTAAAGCTTTACGCGAGCTTTTAGTGCTAAGTAGGGGCAAGTGCATATCGCAAGAGTAGATGAAATATCCTAATATTTCAAACAGGAAATCATACATTAAATTCTCAGCTTGTCAGATATGAAAAATTGCTTTTTCAGCTTATTATTATAGCGTTTACGTTACGGTGCGGATAAGTGTGCGTTGAAGTATGGAGTTTCATACAAAGAATACTGACTAGGTTGATAAATGTGCTACGGCCTTTAAGTAGCACCATAGATTAAGAAAGCTTCAACCAACCTTATTCAAAATAGCAGTGGCCAGCAAGTCCTCATACGTAGACGACTCTAAGCTCGGCGGGTTGGCCGGCTCGGACGCGTACCGCGCAAGCGCTGGAAGCGCTGCAGCCTCTTCTACTACGCGCGCCACTAAGCGCTTGAGTTGGTAGTGCGCGCCGCTCGCGCCGCTAGACGGGGCGGCGTGTGAAGCGCTTGATGGGGCGTCGCGCGGGGGTGGTAGATCTGCGGAAGAAGAAACTAAAGTTAAAACGCTATGGAAGCAAATTGGTCAGCTGCTTTTTGTTTTTCAAAGTGCAAGGAATTTGAAGCCACAGGCTTTAGTCATAAATCATACAGCCTAGATTTTGGCGGGAAAATAACTGTAAAAAAAAAAGAGCTTCTTTCTTCTAGCGTACAGCGGCAAAGGTTAGACACTTTTATGTTTTTTTTAAAGGAAAGGGAACATAGCCTAATGAATTTTAGTTTTCTAATTTGTATCTTACCCCTTCTAAACAAGTACCTAAGTGGCTATGATATCATGATGATGTAATTATGTACATGCAAAAAAGCGTGTAAATAGCGCTTTATGTGGTAAATAAATAGTAATGAATATTCATTGGAGCAATAAATTATGTTGCACAGTTTAATTGTGTTCATTTGTCAACCTTTTAAACCGATAATCTATATATATAAAAATGAAACCCGTTTCGCGTTGTCACGGCATCACGTGTGAACGGCTGAACCGATTTCGATAATTCTTTTTTTTAAATGTTTGTGGAAGTCCAAGGATGGTTCTTACGGAAAAAAATATTAAGAAAATCTCTACGCTAAGGCGGTACGAAGTTCGCCGGGTCAGCTAGTAGTTAAATAAATAAGCCTTTGTTAATTCCAAACTTGGGGCGCATTTTTACTGAAAAAAATTGAAAGAAAAACGTTATCAACCCACGAGGACCAAAACGTGCGTAACAAATTCGAGTTTACATAACTTTATTACTATAGTGTGGCATTCCAAAACCATGAGTCGATATAGTTAATCAAAAGGCGTGCTGTTTACACTAACTGAAATATGTATTTCGCGATAACTAAGACAATAGAAATCCTACTAATATTATAAATGCGAAAGTTTGTCTGGACATCTGGATGTTTGTTACTCTGTCACACAAAAACCACTGAACGGATTTTAATGAAATTTTACAGTAGGATTGGTTGAATAGGGTAGGAGAAATAAAAGCTGGATTAAAATGAAAGATTCAAGTAGGTACTCAAGGTAGCAAGTGCTCGAATTTCAATATTTCAATGATGGAGCTAACTTATTTCTACTATGTTGTTACATTGCCATAAGAGCACAGTGAGGCAACTACTCAGTTTGTCAAGTTGCGGAACAGTATCACAGGTTAAATAACCACGCACTCATTTGATGTACAGTCGGCTGCAGTAAATGTAATTTTTATTTCATTATTCATCATCTAACCTCGTAAGACCGAAGAGTAAATTGTCTCGACTTCTAAGTATCGCCGAATGTGCTTTCAGAAGAACGAATAATTTGAAGTAGTAAACGCCGAGCACTTCGAGTAAAAAAAATTCTATGTTACAGATTTTCTTTTGCATTCATATTTTCTGGGGCTCTATATAATAGTGCATAGAGCTTATTTTAGGTGAAAAATAATAAAAAAATGTTTTCTCTTAAAAGAACATTCGGTATTACAGACTTTAAAAAGGAAAAGTAAATAAATTGTATTTTATACTTTAAAGTAAAACATAAATGTAACCTTCTTAATAAATTAATACTACATAAAGATACAATAACGATATTAATAAATATAACTGAAAAGGAACAACGGTTTTAATTTTATTTAATGTCTCATAATTAGTACTTTTAAAAGTACTGTCGGTTTTATAACATACACCAATGATAGGTTAAAATGTACAAGAAGTAAAGTGAATATTCATGTTAATTATAATATTTACTAAACTAAAAATCAGAACGTTCTCATGGTAAAATTTCTCAATCATATCATAATTTTAAAAGTCCAATACTGATTGAGTATCTCAATAGAAAAAATATACAAAAATAAAACTTTCACCATCAAGACCGAATGTTCCTTGCAAAGAACTTTTATTTTCAAACGAAAAAAAATCTTACAAAACTAGTTCAAATTGGGAAAAATAATTTTTTTGCTTGTTTAGCAGTATTTTAACTTAAATTATACTGGTCAGTTTTGCAATTAAACTACGTTTACGTGAAGAAAAAAAAATAATCGTACATCATGTCTTCTCGGACGAACCACCTTGTCAAAGAAAAATGATAATTTGACAGTGACATTTTGTTTTTTTTATATTAATAAGTTCGGATACCTGATTTTGAATACTTTAAGCCATAGACTATCACCCTTTTTTTTCGATAGGCGCGAATTTTTGAACTTAAATTTATCGCTAAAGTTTTAGTTCCTCTGAAGGCACATCCGGCGATACTTCGAAATCACCTCCGAAAATGTCTCGGCGTTACTGACTACAAAGTTTCAGTTCCTTCTGAGGCACATCCGGGCTTACGAGGCTAAAAGGTGGAGTAACCTACGTAAAGGTCTAAATTGAAAACGTGTACAATAGACATTAAAAAAAATGGTTGACTTTATCTATTTGAGATTTTGGAAGAAAGAATGAAGAAATGTTTATTCAGTATCATCGACAATACACTTTTATTGATGGTCTAGTTAAAAACTGAGCAACTTATTATTGCGAACTCCCAAAATATTTTACGACTGCTGACATCATACATCGTGTTAACAAATATTGTAACAAATTGAATACGAAAAAATATGCCTTTAAAAAGAAAAAGCACGAAACGTGTGCGTGTAGAACAAAAACAGTGATATATCGAATTTCTAAAGGTAGGGTTCATTTACCTGAACTCTACAAATTCGATGTTCAATTTATTTTAAAGGTAACATTGTCAGATTATAACGGTTTGTGGGATGACGTCAGTTGACGTTGACGGGGGCTTTTCAAGACGTTAGGTCATAAAAGTTGATCGTGCTTTAAATATTTGCCCGACTATACCATGTCTTCAGTCTGGAGTTAGCACATCTCTGCAAACAAATGCAAGAGATACGCAGGACGTTGCTTGTTTACTGTCAACTTACCTAGTTTTAATAAGTAAGTAGGTAGGTACATATAAAAGATATGTTTGTGTTTTTGATTATGAAACCCTCGATAGAGTTTCTTCAGTGAAAACACTGAAACTTCATTCACAAGCTACTGTTTTTAACGACAAAAAAGCTGAAGGAAAATCGATGCCTATAGTTTTTTTCTTACTAATTCTTAAATCGTTAAAATACTTGGAAGCCAAAGAAGTAGATAATTTTCGTCACACGCACAATGACTCTCCATAACTATTCTTTAAGAAAAATATCCATAACTTACTTTTTTGCCTTCGTTTGTCTAGTAGCACACTAATCCCAACTAATATTATAAATGCGAAAGTAACTCTGTCTGTCTGTCTGTCTGTCTGTCTGTCTGTCTGTCTGTTACGCTTTCCCGCTTAAACCTCGCAACCGATTTTGATGAAATTTGGCATAGAGATAGTTTGAATCCCGGGAAAGAACATAGGATAGTTTTTATCCCGGTTTTTGAAACAGGGACCCGCGCGATAAAGTTTTTCTGTGACAGACAAAATTCCACGCGGGCGAAGCCGCGGGCGGAAAGCTAGTGATCAATATAAATCATTGCGATGCGGATTGCAACGGCGGATTTGAAAATAATCAAACGGATTAATTATACTGATCTCATCTTTCCATTCGATAGAAATTGGAACTACATATTTTATTTTATTAGAATCATAATCGCCGAAGTAAAATACTTATGTTATGAATTATTATAATTGCGGAAATAATTTGTCATAGAATAATTTCCGAGTAAAAGAAATGCATAAGATGTGTAAGCAATTAATATTGTTTTGATAATTTTGTAGTTGCATAAGTAAGTCAAACGTCAAATTTATCAGTCAGGTGAGGGGGCAGGGGTCACAGCGTGATTGCTTCTTATAGGTACAGGGCGTCTACATAGGCTGGCTTGAATTACATTTCGAAGTAGAAGGTATTTAGAAAATACAATTAATTAAAAACATCTTTTTCCCACGAAGATAATGCGTAACTGGTTTCGTCTTGCGAAATTGATTAAGATGGTGTAGATAACTCAGTTTCGAAAAAAATGTCAGATACGTCAGTTAGAGAGGCTAGCGACGATCTGTCCTCAATAGAAGACAAAACATTACATACATTCATCTCGAGATGTTATAATGATTTATTTATTTTATTAATATTTCAACCGGGAGAACCTGAGTGCAATCCCTGATGAAGCCAACTCTGCAATCGCTTTGTAATTGTTTTCTGGTTGGACAGCGCATTGCCTCCTTTCTCTTGCAAGGCTTGTTAATTGTGACATCCTGTATACCACGTTGTTTGTGTAAAGTTGTTATTATTGCATATAATTGGTTGACTGAATGACCAATGACCTCATAAGTCTGCTCAATTGTGATAGGCGTTGCGAAGACCAAAGTGCAGCACTTGTTTACGGCTGCCTCGTTTAGTTATTAATTTTACTTCTAGTTGTAAATATATTTTTCGGTTTTATATCTACCTAACTCAAAACTAAGTAGAGCTGGTACGAATGACAGCAAAAAAGATTAACACCATTAGCACCTTGTATCGTTGTCTAAAAATACGTATTTATTATTGCCCTAATATTACTATTGCTAGGAACGATACATCTAATGTTGCAAGCTTTTATTTAGCACTACCATTTTTAATTTCTAGGATAGCTACGGTTGAATATGTGAACTGGTCTAATTCGTATCGGGACACTTGTGCGAAAGACACTAGCGCTAAAGACTTTATCGCGAAGACACTAGCGCGAAAAGCCATTTGCCCGCATGGACACTTGCGCGAAAAGACACTAGCGCGAACGGACGTTAGCGCGAAAAGTCATGTCTTCGCGCTAATGTCTTTCGCGCTAGTGTCTTTCGCGCAAGTGTACCAGAACCGGTCTAATTTATTTTATCAATCCAAAAGCTAAGATGCAAGAAATATAGGTACAAGTCAGGTACATACGAGCTAGGAAGTGTTCTTAGACCAACCATGTAGATCAGGCTAACTAACGCGGTAATTAAAAGACCATTAAACCAACGTGTCCGTAGTTGATGTCCTTAAACGCACAAGATAGGTAGGTACAATCGCCATTTTGGTTCAAACGAGGTAAATGTGTGTTACGTATTCAAGCATAAGGTAAAAAAAAATGGCTGGAAGAAAAATTTATTTCAGAGCTATGAAATGAAATGTCTTTACTCGATTTAATGGCCAAGATAGTAGGTATGGCAAGTTTGAACATAAGAAAAGTAATAAGAAAAGTTAGCCCTTATGGAGCTCTTCACCATATTGTCTCCTTATCTTTTGAGCAGCGTTTCGAGACAAAAGTACAGGATGTACACTGTTTGCGAAGTCACCCTGTATAGTAAGTGCTGCGAAAAAATGGCAGGCACAGATTATGTAAACGATTTAATTTTTAGTAAAAAAAAAATATTTATTTAATCTATTTTATTTTCAAATTACTAAATTTAACTACAGTTTAAGTTTGACAGCTCTACTTTTTAATCTTGTCTCATTACATTAATTAGGACGGAAAGGGAAATATTGAAAGTGAATCAGGCCTACTGTTAATTAATGATTAAACTTGTAAGTTTCTTGTAAGGAAACAATAAATATTTAACCAAAGGTTTGTTAAGCATTATCTAACTAATTGGGACTTATGTTTATTAACGAACTTCTTAGCGTACGTACAAATCGTTTAATTTTCTGTTTTTGTAGAGGAAACTGAGGAAAATGAGCTGCCTTATTAATTTAGTATAGGCTCAGCAGGCTTCCCAATACGGGACTATTCCCACCTCTCTTTCCCACCACTGTAGGTAACTCCTGTGTAGCCAGGATCTACAGCTTGACCGCCAATAAAATACAAGTGAAGGTTAAGTTTGCAAGTGTTTGAAGGCTTTTCAATAATCAAGTCGCAAATAAATTGAGGTTAGAATCTCATTTTCAGCGAGGGAGCTCAAAAACTTTTATAAAATTATTGAAAAAGCCTTCACAAGCACAAAGTATTTTTTTTAGCATTATCTTATTCAAAACCAACTTACCAAAGATCTCTTCCAGCCAGTAGCATGACGCGTACAAGAAAATGGCAACTCCGAGCCAAAATCCGATGAGCAAAACGGCTACGTATTCCAACATTGTGGCATCACTAGCTATCGACACTGCACATCACTAACACTGGTTTCATCGACATGGGCACATCACTGTTATAAGTAAATGTTTTTCATGCCTGAAAATCTAATCAGGATTTGTGGTATGAGTTCACTGTTTATTTTAATTAACTATCATAATATAATATTAGTTAATGTTTTTTTAACTCCGAAATTTATTTTTTTATAAGAATTAGGCGTTTGGTAAGAAGTAGGTAATTAACTGAAGTTACATAGTTTTAGTTTGAATAGTTAAACAACATTTAGTTATCTTGCCCGTAGTAATACGGATAGAAACGTAAAACCATGTTAAATGTAACGAATTTTTATCTCTGAAATACTATTGACGTGAAGGAAAACCACTCAAAACCTTTAGGGCTGATTTTTCAATCGTCGGATAACTTTTAACTGAAGAATTACCTTGTCATTTTGACATATTTCCTATACTGAAACTATCAATGTGCCAAACTTATTCTTCAGTTAAAAGTTAACCGAAGATTTAAAAATCAGTCCTTAGTAATAATATAAGCTGGCACTTTATTTATGTCAAAACCAGTAGGTGTTCAAAACTAGTTGAAAAGATAAAAATAGTAAGAATCTTAACGACGACATTTAAAAAGGAATTCGTCCGTGAAATACCTAAAAAATTGCAAGTGAACGTAAAAATAACTTTTAAAATTACTTTTATTATCAAGAAAATGCCGCAAGGTCATATCACAGCAATATATCCACGTATGCATGATTGTGAATAAAGAAAAATATTGCCATATCACAATGACTTGGCAAATGATGCTCGTACCTACATTTAATTAGTGACGTCGGTAATGTCTTAGAGGTCATGGTAGTTAAGTATTCCTTAACTTATGTACATCAGACTGATTATGGTTACAATATGATGAGCACGAGAATTTAAATGAAGATTTATTGAGTGTGGTGTAATTTTATCTTCTTTAATTTAAATAATGTCCTCTCGCTGTTGTCTGGAAGAGGTCGCTTCCCAATGTTAGGACCACCTTAATTGTCTGTCCTAACGGTTCTTTATTATGTGCTGTTGGAATGCAGTGTTTCTTCTAATTGTCACTTTTTGTGTTAAGAATAGTCTCTACCTATCTAGAGCTAGAAAAGTTATCAATAAATGAAAGCAAGGTATATTAAATATTTTGAAAAGATACAAGTATATTGATTTATCGAACGAATTCGAAATCTATGCTTAGTAAACTCCACCTAAATATACTTACGAGCAAAAGTATGGAATCACCCCTTTGTGTTCCGAGTGGTCTTAAGAACTGCCCCCCTAGACAAAACGCACTTTTTGATCGAATCGAAAATCGAATCCGTCAAAACTCCATACAAAGAAGGGGCTTTTCGACCACTTTTCGACTGGTTTGCGATTATAATTTGCACTTTGTCTAGACCCACTGAATGACTATGTATTGTATGTATCTATGGTATCAATTTAAAGTTAATAATATCACCTTTAAAATGGTACCATTTTTATTGATCGTCTATTAGTCATTTAGTTCTTATGATCGCTCGGAATAAATAGGGTGATTCCATATTTTTGCTCGCGAGTGTAGTTTATATTTAAAACTGTTTCCAAAATAACCCACAATGCAAATGTTTACAATGCCGCACACCTTGCACACTTTTATGACGTTTGCGCAACTCAATCGGAAAACAAAAACCGATTGTTGTGCGCAGGCGCGAGAGGAAAGCATCAAAAATGTGCACTCACTGTTATACAAACCAGTGATGCAATGTTATGATGTTATGATAAAGAGCGACGTTTTGCGAACTGATACGAATTCGTGATTGTTTTGTCAATGAATGCCGTCAGAAAATGCCATAAGCTACTTATAGTCACTGCACTATTTACAAAGGATGTACCTAATCCAAATCACGGAATTATTATTTACTCTTTCATCATCATCTCAGCCTTAAGACGTCCACTACTGAATCAAAATAGACATTTATTCTTTAAACTAGCGGCCGCCCGCGACTTCGTACGCGTGGATCCTGTTTTACCTCCGGGGTGGAGTTTCGTAAAATCCTTTCTTAGCGGATGCCTACGTCATAGCTTCTGCCTGCATGCCAAATTTCTGTGCGTTGATCACGTAGATCACTATGTCAGTCAGTCAGTTACCTTTGAGTTAATATATTTAGAGATGTCTATTTTGATCCAGAGAAATAATCATTGTAGGTACTCCAAATTCTATTACGGTGGTAGGGGAAGCCCTGGATAGAAACCAGTGGAGATCGATAGTTTGCTCCCAGTAATTCTGAATCCGACCTCGACTCTTCATGATCGACACAAACAGTAAGAGAGAGTGAGAAAGAGATCTTACCATACCCCCTTACTAATAAAACTTACACACTCGTTGAACAGTGTTTTAATGTGACGTTTAGTATGGAAATGTCATTTTAAAACAGTGTTTTCAACAACTGTATATACAACTTTTTATTAGTAAGGGGGATAGGGTTTCAAGTTACTGAAAATTGGTTTTGTTGTATTTTTTATTACTTACTCGTAGCTCTAAATTGTGTTTCAAATCTATGAGTTAATTGAATACCCAACCCTACAGTGTGACTAGTTTTCCGATAAAAACATGAAATCACAGCCACACCTTTACTGTGAGTAACTTTCCTGAGCATATTTTACTCGTTCCGTTTGCCATTTGGTCAAGTCCATTTCAAATTACCTATATTTTGCCATTTTCCCGTTGGAAAAACTGTTCTACATAAAGGCCAACATCCAAAACCAAATCAAACCATTTGCATTCAGCCTTTCAACTTGTCCTCTTTTAAGGACATTACGAATTTGGAACCGAAGCACGTATTAATCGACCTACCGACAGGATTCCATTGATTGTTACTGTTAGCGATTTACTTACATGCTTTAATGTGCGCGTGAGACGAATTTTGAATTACACGTGTTACCTTTTTGTACAAAACCTTTAAATTTAAACAGAGTGAAGAATTAAAATTCACGAACGTCACACATCTTTGTTTATTTCGCCAAAAACTAAGGCCAAACATAAATCACTCTATTTTTCCTAATAAGTAAATGTTTGTCTTGGGTTTCCTTAACCATTCAAAAACGAATTTATCATTGTATTTTTCAGGCATTAACTATGTTAACTTGGCATTATTTATTCAAGTAATGTTTTTAGAGTCTGAAACACGTTTTAAGTAGTTCTATCTCTTGTGTTAATTTGCCAAAAATGTAAAGTTCTATTACTTGTCTTTATAGAAGTACTTACTTATTTATTAAAGTCTTGGTCACATGAAATAAAATCTTCTTCATTTTCTAGCAACAGTTTTTCATTTTACCTACTTTTGTCTATTCATAGAACATGTACATAAACAACTCGATTACCCATTTAAAATAATTGCAGAATTATCTTCCATTGTTTATCGCATAGCTGAAATAGGCTCACGCATGCGCGAGCGCAGCTATCTGTCACGTTGCAAGGTCGCGCTAGTTGCTGATAACGGTTGCACTACGATACACGGTAATGTAGGGTAATGGTACTGAGTAATGCACAAAATAGAAATGGTAATGAGGAATTCACGATGCTGGTTCCTTATTGTTGTAGGTTTGTTGGTATCATTTCGAGGACGTTGCCGCCTTGTGTTGATAAAGATGTGGGTAAGATTTACATTGTCCGTTTTGTTTTGAAATTGTCTGTGGCAAGTCTGATAACGTCTGATACCTTTGTGGGCATAGATGTATTTATTGTGACGCATAATATATGCCATAAAGTCCGTTAAGTTGAAGGTAAATGCTTAGAATTGGTCTTTTAGTGTAAAATTGCAAAGTTTTTCGAAAGAAGAAGAAGGCTTTTGTTTCGTGTAGAGTTCGAATAGATTAGCTTAACTGTCGTTAATAGACAGTAGGTAAGCTATTGTTCCACCAAAAAATAATTAGGTACTTTCTCACACCCTATGTCTTGACTCTTCTAAATCTAGTGTTCCCCTTATTTCATTGCGTGTCTACTGCCCGTTTTCACCATCAATCACTAATTTTTAAGTGACCCCTTTGTAAACAAAATTCCTGTAATGTGTTACCGTAGAAGGTCACTTAAAAATTAGGTATTGATGGTGAAAACGGGCATTAGTCCCGTTTTATTAAATAACTTTCCTTGCGTAACGTAGTGCCTTAAAAATAAGTAGGTACATTGCGGTTTAAAAAATTACATACATAGATGCTGTAAAATCCTGAAATATTTTGCACTCGTCTCGAAGTAAAATAACGAACAACGAATTAACCGCAAAAATACGTATCGTGATGCTTTTGTGAAAACGATTTCTTTGATCAAAAACTGTCAACCGCAAATTAAAGAAATACCAAGGCTTATTAGTGGCATATTCAATCAAGTGATTATAAAATCATGATTTATTAATTTAATCTTTGTAGAAAGTGAAAAATCGTCACATTATCATTTGAAATATTTTTATTAATCACTAAATTTTACTTCGTTACGATATTTGCACAGACGTGATCATGAGCGTTAATTAATTATTAATTATTGGCTTGTGCGGGACAGGTAATTTCATTTTTAGTTTTTAAAAGAAAATGCAAGCTTTCGGCAAGTGTTTGATGTTACTAACCTAGTTTTCTTCTTATTAAAAGTAATATTGTACGTACATACGAATGTCCACTTCTTGCAACAGTTGTAACATAGAGACGTAACAATTATGGCAAAAACAAACCATCAGCAGAACACACTAGCATTTTCTCGAACGATTTACTCATAGTACACGCAGCAACAGAGCTTTTCCCTTATGTCAATAGAGTTACGGCGGAAAGCGAATCCGAACTTGTGTTCCTAACTCTACAAGGAAAATGAAAGGCTCGTTTCAATCTTATTAACATAGGCATAAGACAATTTCAAGCTTTCCCGGTTGCACGTGGTCTGACCACTTTCGATCGCGGATGCCGATCCGATATGTGCAAATATTATGATAGAATGGCGAATAAAGTTGTTTGATAGAGATAAAATGTGTCGATGTTTTATCGATAAACCTTGATTCAAATTATGTTCTTCGTAATAGAAGAGTAGCACGGGTGCTTCTGTAGACTCTTTT